AGTTGCAACTGGCTCTGCCCCTGCATTAAAGCCTTGGGCAGAATGGGCCACAACCAACCAGCAGCCAGGCCAAAGGCTTCAGAACAAGGGCCTCTGTGTCCCACAACGTGTAGCACAGCCCATCAGTGTTCCTCAGCAGGACTGCTGGAGATGGAAGGCTGAGTCATTAATTACTTTCTTTTATTAAAAATGTACACAAGTAAAAGGAACATGGTTTAATTGTACAGAGTAAGAAATACAGATGAGTAAATAAAATCATTAATTAAAGCCACCTGCAGTATACCACCCAGAAGTAATCAGGCTGTTAAATTTTTAGACACTTGAGTGCAAACACAATTTCTCACTCCCTGGTGCATATGTAGGAGCTCTGTCCCATGCAGACCCAGGCATGGTCTCAAGTGATGCTCTTGCTGGGAATGCTGCAAGCAGCAGTCTGTGCTTCCCCAGCACTGGCCTGGGGCCCTTCCTCAGCCCCCAGGTCTCTCTGCACACAGATAACGTGCAGAGATTGGCATCCAAGAGCCAAGAGTCCAAAGGGCCAGCTGTCCAGGCCGCAAAGGTAATCTAGAATACATTAGGAGGTGCAAAGGGCCTTGGCGGTTGGGTGACAGACTGTCCCAGTTTGCTCAGGACTGAAGAGTTTCCAGGGATGTGGGTAGTGCCAAAACTGAGAAAGGCCTGGTCAAACTGGGGTGAATTGGTCACCCTACTTAGAGGGACAAAGGCTTTGTCCAGCCCCTCCCTACACTGCCCACAGGCCCTCCTGCTGGGCCATAGATCCCCCAGGTCCTCATTAAGCAGCCCAGGACAAAGCCTCGGCAGGGGCCTCCTGTTCCCTCTGGCCCCACAAAGGTTTCAGCCTGAGGCCCAGGGAAGGAGAGGGGAAAGGGAATGAGTAAAGGCAGACAGGCAGTTGCCACCTGAGGAAAGGCACCAGGTGAACTCTGGCTGTCAAGGGCAGCCAGGGGTGCAGAGGTGGAGGGGCTCCAACTCTTGGCCTCCTGCCCCTCCAGCCCTGGAGCTACCTTTAGACCTCAGTGTCTGAGTCCTCCTAGCTCTGGCCCCAGTCCTTGGAAAGTGCAGGGTCTCTGTGCAGGCCCCAGGCGCCTCCCACAGCCCTGGTGCATCCAGCCTTGCATCTCCCTCTTCCTTGTGTCCATGCTTCCTGGCACTTGCTGCCCAGCTCTTCTCCACCTAAGACTGAGAGCAGAGGATGGGAGAAGAGAAGTCCAGGACTGGTTGAGCTGAATCAGGTAGGTGGGAGGGGACCTGGGCAAATAGGACCTCTCTGACAGTGGCAGCACATCCTGACTGTGCTCTGGCCAGGGCTGCTGTCTATGCCTGAGGAACCCAGAGGAGTAGGCAGAATAATGGTCCACAGTGGCCTAAAGATATCCACATCCTAATGCATGGAATCTGTGAATATGTTATGTTACATGGCAATGGGGAATTAAGGTTGCAGATGCCATTAAGGTTGCTAATCAGCTCACTCTAAAATAGATTATCCTGGATTATCTAGATGGGTCCAATGTAATCACAAAGGTCCTTAAACAGGGAAGAAGGAGGCAGAAGAGTCAGAACCAGAAGGATGGCATTATATGAAAGACTTGAGCAGCCATTGCTGGCTTTGAAGGTGGAGGAAGGGGCCACAACCCAAGGAATGCAGGTGGCCTCTAAAAGCTGGAAAGGGCAAGGAAACAGATTTTCTACTAGAGCCCCCAGGAAGGAATGCAGCTATGCTGACATCTTGAGTTTAGTCCAGTAAGGCTCATTTTGGACTTCTGACCTACAAAACTGTAAGATAATAAATTTATGTTATTTTAAGCCACTTAATTTATAGTAATTTGTTACAGTAGCAATACTGGGAAATCATCTGGGGGATGCAGCTGCCCAAAATCCCTTGGTTAGAGTCAGTCTCACAGAGTTCCACAGTCCCTCTGTGAAAGACCCTATTCTGTTCTGGGCCCATGCCCTGGGCAGGGAATGGGCCTCCATAGCTTGGATGGGTCAAGAAGGATGCCTGAGGAATAGTGCCCCTGCTGGTCATGTCTACAGGAAACAGCTGCCTCCTGAACCCACTCCTCAAAACTCTGAAGCTGCTGGCTCCGAGTTGTCCTGGAGGAGCTGCCCTAAGGTCAGGCCACCCAGCACATCCAGCCAGAGCCTGCAGTCGTGGTTTAAAAGTCCCACAGCGGGGTTCTGTGTCCTTTCCACATACCTATAATATTCACAGCACTCTCAGTCCTTCATCTCACTAAGTGGATGCAGTTTGGCTCAGGAAAAGCTAGGACTAGAGGGAAAAAAGTTTAGAGACAAAAATCTCTAAAGTGGATGTCAGCCAGATACGCATACAATCCCTGCTCTGCTACTTACTAGCTTTGTGGCCTCAAATTAGCCACTAGATTTCTTGTAGCCTTTGTTTCTGTATCTGAACAATGGGTGTAACAGCTCTTGTCTTATCTGCCTCACAGCGTGAGTCTCAGTTGAGATAACACATGAGAAAACACTGTGCTGCACAGACTGAGATGCCCTTGTTATTAATAAACAATAACGACCACAACCCCATCTGCCTTTGGATGGAGTGGATGATCACACATCCTGTGCTGAGGAAGGAAGGGTGAGTGCAGACTCAGCAACTCGGTCTTGCCCACAGGCAGGACGCTGCAGCCTGGCCAGGAGAGGCGAGAAAGGCTTGTCTTTCTCTGAGCCACAGCCTTGGAGCTCACACCGGACGGACGGACCGGCAGCCCTCAGGATGTCCTCCCAACCACCACAGACTGGGCTTTGTGCTTTTTTTTTTCCTAAGGAAAAAGTTTTCTAGAGTTTCTTTTGCATTAAAAACAGTCCCTCCTTCTCACAAAACACTTACAATTTCACACAAAAAAGGTGGAACATGGAACTATACACAATACAATTCCAATCTAATGAATATATAATATATGATTTTGTTTTTCCTTTTTCTCCCCAAAGCCCCCTAGTACATAGTTGTGTATTTTTAGTTGTGGATCCTTCTAGTTGTGGCATGCAGGATGCCGCCTCAGCGTGGCCTGATGAGCGGTGTCATGTCCACACCCAGGATCCGAACCAGTGAAACCCTGGGCCGCCGAAGCAGGGCACGCAAACTTAACCACTCGGCCATGGGGCCAGCCCTTAATGTATGGCTTTATGTGGAATACCTACTGGGAGAAATGCATCAGAATACTAATGGTGATTATCTTTGGGTGGTGGGATTATAGGTGATATTTTCTTGTTTATATTTCTATAACTTAAAACTGCTCTACAATGACTCATAATTTTACAGTCAGAAAACAATTATATACATGTATATATGAAAAGTGCTAGGGACTTCCTTTTGTGGGGCCACAACTGGGCTTGAGGAGTCATTTGAGCTGGGTTCTGCACAGGTGGGAGGCTTGGCCCTGGTCCTTGCTGTGGGACCTTGGAGACTCACTACTTTCCCTCCCTGGCCTCTGATGGCCTGGTCAGACAAGATGCTCTCTAGGATCCTTTGCATCTCAATAATTAAAATACTCACCTTCGTCTCACCCATCCTTGCTCCACATCCAGCTTCCAGTGGCTTCTCTGTTCCTAGAGAACTCCTTATTCAGGCTTTGAGGTTGAGACCCCCCTCCCTCACCAGGTTTTCTTCCCCTAGACCTGCCCTGGGAGTCCCAGCCTCCTGGGATTTGCCTACATCACAATCTGCACTTCTCAGAACCCTGCCCTTCCTTGAAGAACAAAGCCTGGCCAAATCCTGTGCAGCGTGCTGGCCTGAAGTAACCCCTGCTTCCCTCTAATTTGTGCATAACAACAGCTACCATTTAGTGACTGTTAACTTCAGGCCACAAAGCAAAAGTGCTCTCAGTTAATCCCAGGTCACCAGCAGCTGCATAGACTAACAGGTGGAGTTGTGCTGTGTGGTCACCCTATTTGATCCTCTCTTGCCCCTGTAGGATGTATTGTTATCCCCATTTCACTGATAAGATAACTGAGGCTCAGAGAGGTCAAGTGAACTCATCCACGGCCACACAGTGGGTTTGTGGCAGTGCTAGGACCTGATCTCGAGTCAGTTGGTTCCAAGTCCAGTGTTTTTTCACCCTCAGTGGTGTCGTCCTCAACAACTCCCACATCCCAGCACTGGAGGGCAGGGAGGGTGTGTTCCAAGTTGAACACAAAGAAAGCACCCAATAAATGTCTGGTGGTGGGGGAGCTGATCACAATAAGTTCAACCAGGGTTTATCATTCAATCAACAGGTCTTCCCAGAGTGTCTGTGGGCTCTGGGGGCCAGGGCCAGGCCGATTCTCTTCATTGCTAAATTCTGGCACCCAGCAGTGCCAGAAACACAGTACCTGCTAAATAAAGGACACTGAATTCATGATTGTTCATTCAAATAATAAAACAATTAAGCAAATAATATGAGCTAACATCTGTGGAGTGCCTACCACAAGCCAGCTCTCAGGAAGTCTCCAGGAGAGTTGAGGAGAAATATAACACTGATGACAAGGACTGCAGCGTGGGGTTTTACATCAAAAAAGTGTCTATGTAAAGGCTGTGAAAACACCAAAGAAAGATGATCAGCAGCAAACCCAAACCTTCCTGCGTGTCTGAGGCCATGTCAGCAGCTGTCACAATCACGGTTTGAATACACAGACTGCCGAAGCACACAAACCTGGATTTTCCATCTGCATCCATGGTTCTGCCTGTTCAGACTGCATCTGGATACTTCTGTTGCCTCTCCAGAGTGGATAACCAGAATGCTGAGGGCTATAAAACAAAGAGTTGTGGAAACTGGTGATATTTAGCTTGGAGAAGAAAAAGGAGGGTTGTCTTTAACAGGCGATGGGCTGCCAGTGGGCAAGAGCCCTGGCTACCCACTGAGGAAGCCCGCTCTAGCTGGCTGGGCTGTCTGGAGATGGACCAGAGAAGCAGGGAGCCTGGTGGGCTGCCTCTGGGACCTAAAGAGCCCTTATTCTCTCCAGCATAGACTCTACACACTTGCTCACACAACAAACGTTTATTAACTGTCATCCACGGCCTATTCCAGGCTAGGGAAATCAGGATGAATAAAACAGGCTTGCAACCTTAGAAAACGCCAGCCCTCTAGGGGACAGAGTCAGGAAAGCCTCATCCTGTGGCCTTAGACTCCTTATTGTACATCCCACAGGGTCCTGTCTCAGCCACTGCTAAAGGCCATTTTATTCCTTGTATTCTGAAGCGGCCAGGCATACGGCAGATAATCAACAAACACAGGCATCCCTGAAGAGGGGATCCTGGGACGGAAACTCCAGCGCCCTATGGGGCTGAGTCCCATGCATGGTCATTTGCATTTGTCCTTCTGTCCCCTCAGATGTCCTCAGGTCCAGACAAGCCTTGACCGTGGTGTCTTCCAGCCCCTGTTGCCACGACCAGTGGTTGATCTTCCCTGGCTGTAGTGCCATGTCAAAGGATGTCCTCCACTTCTAAACTGCATACCAGTCTTTATCTTCCATTCCCTCCCCGGCTCCTCAGTCTGCAGTCACAGCTGTGGTTCAGCAACCAGTGTGGCACTCTTGTGTGCTATTCCAAAGATGTCCACGTGGAGTAGAGCTCATTCTGTTGCCCTGTCCATTCACCACACCATTCAGTGCTGGAATTGACATACATACACTTTTATTTTTTATTGTGAAACAATAATTATGCAGAAAAATGCACAAAACATATGTTCAGTTTTAAGTATAAAATATAAAGCAAATATTTGTATAACCACCACCAGGTCAAGAGATAAAACAATGTCAATCACCCTCAAAGACCCCTGTGTGCCCGTCCTAATCACACTCCCAACCCTCCCCTGTGGTCATAATGAAATCGACTTTTGTGACAATAATTTCTGTGCTTTTTATAGTTTTACCTCCCCTGCATGTATGCTTAAACAATACCGTCCAGTTTTGCTAGTTGTTAAACTTTTCACAAAAGAAATTATACTGTACATAATCTTTTGTGTTTCATTTAACATTCTGTTGATGAGAGCCATCCACTATTAGAGTATTATCCAACATTACAGTATTACAAGTCACTATAGTTCATTCATTTCCACTGTAGGAATGTTGCACAATTTATTTGTATTCTTTGGTGTTGATGGGCACTTGGACTCTTCCTGGTGCTGTGTGGATATTCTGGTGCACATGGGTAAGAGTTTGGTTAGAGAAGATTCTGAGGAGTCGGGCTGCTGGGTTATAGGGCATATGTACTTTCCTCTTTACTAGATCACTTATGTACTTTTTAATTCTGAAAATGTTTCTCAGGGAAACAGTGCTTTAACACCCTAGCATTGTTTGGGGTAGAGGAAATGAGGTATGCCTGCCCTTGCAGTTTGACCGGCCCGCCTTCTGTCCTCAGAACCTCGTCCCCTCCAGCCCAGACACCTTGTTTCCTCTGGCACCCAGAGGCTGGAGCCCCTTGGCAGCAGGCTCCTCTCTGGTCTCCCCGCCTCAGTGATGCAGTTGGGCGGAGGTGGAAGCAGGCTGAGAATGAGGAAGTGGAAACCAAATATGAGGGCCACAGAGAAGTCCGGTGCACAAACCTCAATGTTTCAGCAGCACACTCGCTGGGAGAAGAACGTGCAAGCTGCCTGTGGAGCACGCCCAGCAGGCACAAAGCCCACTGGTGCCAAGGCGTGCTACTGGACAACCCACCACTTTGCAGTGGGTTCCTGTACATAAGTCACTCCGTGCCATCCTCACTCCATCTTGTGAGGTAGGTGTTATTATCCCCATGTCACAGATGAAGACACTGAGGCACAGAGACATTGAGTGACTGGCAATATAGTACAACAGTCAATAGTGTGAGCTCTGGACCTGTTTAAATTGGGTTTAGGGGCCAGCTCTGTGGCCTAGTGGTTAAGTTTGGTGTGTTCTGCTTTGGCGGCCCAGGTTCACGGGTTCAGATCCCACAGGCGGACCACTCGTCGGTGGCCATGCTGTGGTGGTGACCCACATACAAAGTAGAGGAGGATTGGCAACAGATGTTAGCTCAGGGTGAATCTTCCTCAGCAAATTAAATAAGTAAGTAAGTAAATAAATAAATAGGATTTAAATTGTGGCTTTCCCAACTTACTGTGTAACCTTGGGCCAGTTACCTGACTTCATTTAGCCTTAGTTTCTCATCTGTAAAATGGGGCTAAGTGACTCACAGCGTCGTTGAGAGAGTTAAAAGAGATAATGTGTAGAAGCAGCTTAGCAGAGTGCCTGGCACAAAGCAGGAATGAGCAGAACTATGAAATGGAGCTATGGAGTTCCAAGGTAGACAGTCAAGACATAGGGGGACAGGCAACTCATCTTGGCAAGCTGGGACCAGGCCACTAAGCTGAGGGAGCTGATTCAGCGCTGTGTGAGGACTCAGTCAGTGGAGTGCTGCCCCAGTAGACTATGAAACATGGGCATCCGGGCAGTCCTGCCCCCCGGCCCCTATGCCCAGAGCTCTCTACCGATCTGTGGCTGCTTCAAAGGGCAGTGGTTTCTGACAGGGAGCAGCTGGATCCCTGCACATGTGGAAGCTTCAGCCCAGCTTCAGCGCTCGCCTCCGGAGACCGCATTGGCAGGCGGCAGCAGTGGCAGCCAATGGGCAGCGAAGCCTGTTGCTAAGGTCACTGGTGAACCTTATTTGGCGACATCAGGCTGACCCTGCATTCACCTCTGAGAACCCTGGGAAACGCCAACCACAGATGTGAAATGAACGTCTCAAAACCACAACTGCATTTCCTTTGAGAAAAGATTTGGCGCTCCTCTCCAGCCTGCCTCTCTAGGGCTGGATGCCTTTTGTACAATAGCTTGCAACCTCAGGAGAGAAGAGCCTGGGTGGGGAGGCTGCTGCAAACCCATCCTGGGCAGGCCCGGGCAGGGAGAGGGCAGGGTCTACTGCACAGGTGGCCTCAGGACCCAGCAAGGACCTCAAGGCTTCTGTTCTCACCCTGGCAGCTGCCGACCCCTGCCCAGACCTCCCCACACACACCCTGAAGTATTCCTGGCCTCACTTCCTGCAGCCTTGGGAAGTGGCTGGTATGAGGAAGACCCGCGGCACGCAGGGAGGAAGTGGGCCAGCCGGGCCCTCACCATCTGCAGCGGCCACACTGCTTCGGTGCAGCCTACAGCTCAAACGGTCGGTGGTTTCAGTTTTTCACCTCCCTTTGGTGCATATTCTAGCTTAACATTAAATATGTAAAATTGTTGCCCCACCCCAGACAAATGTGGGAAGGAAGCTGTGCCTTCGATATTTCCAAAATAATAATCACTCTTTGTGCAGCACCTTCGAGGCTGGGAACCGTGCTCACATTTGCCATCTTGTTGGATCCTCACAAGCGTGGTTAAAGTAATAACAGACGATGGTGACTGAGCCCTCACCAAGTGTCAGGAATGTGAACTAACTCACGGAATCCACTCTAATTGTTCCCATTTTACAGAAGACCAAAACGAGGCAAAGAGAAATTCAGTAATTGGCTCAAAGTCACATAGTCTGGGAATGACAGGGCTGAGATTTTTATCCCAGATAGCCCAATTCCAAAGTCTGCCCTATTGTCTCCTGTTACATTGTCTTTAAAGGCACATGCACAAGAACAAATCCCATTTACCAATGAGAAAGTGAGGCTGAGAAGACACCGTTTACTGGCATCCTTCATCTGCGCCCCCCTTTTTATCACTGTCACGTCCCTGCCCACCCCAGCTTGTCTCCTCCTGACCTACAGGCTAAAAGTGGCCTTTCTTTTCCAGGTAGCCCAAGGAGCCAAGTCTCCCTACCTGTCTGGAAAAGGGTATGAGAGCCCATCTGTCAGATAAGGTGGGGGCAAAGCCAGGGCCATGGAGGATGTGCCACAGGAAACCCAACACACACACCCCACATCCCCTTGCTAAGCCCGCGGTCCTCAGAAACCACCTGCACACCGGGGCCAGTCAGAGCATTCCGCAGGCTGGGGCCCTGGGACTGCTGGTGGCAGAGCTGGGGGTCTGTCTGCAGCATCCTCAACAGAAGGTGCTCTGAGGGGCTGGGGCCGGGGCTGGGCACTGAGAAGGCCGGTGTAGATCCCTTGCTGGAGTGCTGGCCTTCTCTTGGGTTCTTCAGGCCGCCCTCACTCACTGAATACACACTTTTTTTGTGCACTATTCCAAGCACCAAGGGCACAACAGTGAACAACTCAGACCAGGTTCCAGGCCTTGCAGAATTTAGTTCCAGTGAGGGAGACAGACATGAAGCAAATAATCACACAGATAGCTGGAAAACACAGGGTACCATGAGAGGGTGCAACTGAGGGGTCCTAATCTAAGACAGAGTGTGCTAGTTAGGGTGGCCATTCCCTCGAGGAAGAGACATTTCAGGCATGTGGAGGGATGGAGGGATGGTGTGGAGTTAGCGGGGACAGTTCTTGGCCCCTGTCCCACAGCCCTCCTCTCCTCCACATTCCAGGCCCTTCAGGAAATCTGCTTCCATGAAAGCTGCTCTGCTGGTTTCGTCAGAGTTGCCCCCAAGCGGTGCCTTTGCTGGCAGCTGCTTTTAGTGTTTGTGCCTGGGCGAGTACAAACTCCTGTAGGGGGGAGACCAGAGAGGAGGGGTGACTAGGGTTTTTGATCTTTGATCCTCAGCTAAACTCGAGCAACTCCATTCCTCATCAAAGTTCCAAGTGGGCCTGTGGGAGAGCCCGGCAGGCCAAGGAGGTGAAGGCAGCTGGTGGGGCAAGAAGCTGCTAGTATGAAATGCTTACTTCTGAGAAACATTTTCAGAAGTAAATATTTTCAGATTAACCAAGAGCCACGGCCCTTCCTAAAGCACCTCTGAAAAGAGTTTTTCATCCAGCGTGAAATTAGCTTTTCCTAGAGAGGAAACCCACCCAGGGCTGACAGCAAGCCGGCCAGCCTTAGAGGAAGCCGGTGCAGGGCTGTGGCCCTCCTCACTGGCGCCTCCCCAGCCCACAGGCTACCGGTGCAGCCCTGCTCGGTGTGCCCAGGGCTAGGCTGCTTTTGGAACACCCTCGCTGCCTTTACTAAACATGCTTCTCCCTGCTCCTTGGCTTCTTCCTCCCTTGGGGACTCTCCCTGTGGAAAAGAAACACCAGCTTTTGGGTTTGCGAGGCTGTGATTTCCAGTTTCGTTTTCCAGTTTCCATTTAGAAGCATCTCTGCCAGCGCTCCACTCCCCGTGCCCCAGAGCAGGGAGCTGAGAAGTAAGAGAAGAGTGTTGCTGCCAGCACCCTGCTCCCTGCGGCTCTCAGGGGTGGGGACTGGCTGAACTCTCCGTGGGGGAGGTTGCTAAAATGCAGATTCCTGGCTCCCCAGTCCTTGAGGTGGTAGGTTTGGGCCCTTCAGTGCTTCTGATGCAGGCTGTGGACACCACTATCTCAGTCACAGCCTCAGAGGCCATCAAAACAGCCAGAGGCACAGCACAAGGCCTTGCCAAGGCTCTTCCCACAAGTGTTTGTGAAATTTTGTTCAGCATCCCCTGCCCCTTACCCAGCTGGTGTTGGACGCACTTCAGGGGTCAGTTCTTTGGGACCTGTAGGAAGCCCAGGCTGTGGCCTTCACACAAGCCCCTCTCTTCATCACATTCCAAATTTCCCTTTAAGATGCTAATTTGTAGTAGGCATTAATAGAAACAAAACAAGAAA